GGGGGTATGGAGGTCGTGCTCGGGAGGCCCCGCGTAGGATTACCCCCCCTGGTCTGGTCGGCGGCGTGCCCGCCTCTTTGTATCGAACAGGGCATTGCGAACCAACTCTGTTTGTGAGACTCGCTTTCGGGCCGTATATCAATGGCATTATCTGTTCGCGACGCGCCGATCCGGCCCTGGCGGAAGCAAAAGTTTTACCCCCCCCCCCTTCCCACCCAAGCTTCCTGCTCCCACGCCTTCCAGTAGCAGTCTTGCTTGCTCCCCTTCGCCGAATCTGTTTAATCTTCCAAAGTGCAACTATCGTCGCGGAGAGGAGAATAGAAAGGAAACAAATAAGCGCGACATCAGGGCACAGAAAGAAAGGATTGGCTAAACCAATACCGAATCACAGGATAACCAATTATTATTCATCTGTGTAGCCTAAAATTTTAACTTTGCAGCTAAAACTTTAGCCGTGTAGCTAACTTTTCAGCTTTTTATCTATGTTGCTGAATTTTCAGCTTCAGAGCCAAATTTTCAACATCATAAGTAAACTTTTAGTTACATTGCTAAATAATTAGTAATCTCGTACTTATCGATGGTAAACCTGTACCGCTAACTTTTGTTTTCGTCTGTACGGATTCTGCGATATGATTAACTACTTGCGCGAAGCACAAGTATAGTAGTGTCGTTTTATTTGCAAATTTTGCAGTTCGCGCGCTCCGTTCGGTGTGTGCGTGTTTGTTATGCAGACGGAATTAGTGAGTCTGAGGGTCGCGCGTCCGGAGGAGGGTCGGCGGGCCGGCGGGCCGGCGGAGCTGTAGTTGTGGTACTAGTTGTGGGGACGGAAGCAATCTGAGGCAATCTGCTGCGGGGCTAATTGAGGATCATAGTCCTTGCTCCTGGACCAACTTGCGCGGGGCTTGTGGTTTGCGATCCGCAGCGAGGATCATGTAAAGTACTAGTTAGTAAAATAATTGAATTAGCAGCAGAGGCTTCGATTCTACAAAGAAAATAATTCGTACTCGACGAAAGTTTCCGTTGAGCCTATAAACAATTAAGTGTAAAACAAAAATTTTCTGTAGCGTTTAACGGTGTGTTAATCACAGTACGAAGTGCGTCGTAGGTTCTCACGTTTGCGCCGCTGCTGCGAGCGGCGCTCCTGCTCTGGTGGCGGCGCGTCGGCTCCCGCCGGGAGCGCCCTACGGCCGCCGGGTAGGCTACCCGCTCCACGCGGCTGCCCCGCGGGCGGCCCCCACCGTCCTTCCTCGCCCACAGTACACAGCGGAAAATATTTCGAAAAAAAAAGAATAAGCGAAAAGTTGCCGTAGTTTCTGTTGCTTTTCGATTTTGTATAAAATTTGGCATTTGCTTGAATTTTTTCAGAAGTTATCCAAAATATATAAACCTCCTTTCATTCACACTACTGTTTTATTCTACTTTTTAATAATTTTTTTTTTTGGAAGAGGTATGGGCATTGTCATTGTCCAAAACGTAACTTGTACTCGAAATTTGTAAAAGATTTGTTTTAAAATTCTGGTCGAAGTTTGAGTGTTTGTGTAGCAAGCGTTGCGTCAATTGGCTCCCTTCCAAACGAGGCAGAGAAAGGGGCGTGGCAGCCGGCGCTGCCCCCCCCCCCCCTCTCTCTCTCTCTCTCCCTCTCACTCTCGCTCCTCTCTCACTCTCTCGGCAACAGCCGCGGTGACTCGGAAGCTGCAAGTCCCTCTGCGACTTCCCGCTTGCGAGAGGAACGAAAACTTCCCTCTATCAATCTATACCGGTCAAGTAAGTTAACGTCGTTAGAATGAACTCGGTCTACAATCTTCTGTATTGTATCTTTGCGTTTTGTTTTATTGGTTTTCCCCAGACGGCAAACGACGCAGCAAAGCAACTGCTGTAACTTGTACGAAGAGCTGACTTCGCAGCAGCACGACACACATCTCTCCCCCGATACAATCGACCTATGTCCTTCGTGCGTTGCCTGATTCTTTCCTCTTCCGCTATAGAGCACCCCCTTTGAATCTTTCTCTCTCGCTCTCTCCCTCCCTCTCTCCCTCCCTCTCTCTCTCCCTCTTTCCCTCCCTCTCTCCCTCCCTCTCTCCCTCCCTCTCTCCCT